CTTGGATCAACAATAGAAATGGAAAGGAGGAACAAATATAGGAAATAATACAAAGAAACAGTCCACAGAAATTGGTTATTGACTGGGTATCTGTGAGATAAGGAAAGGGAAAAGGAGAAGAAGGTTACTGCACTTTTGACCCTGAGTACCTGAGAGAATGATACATTGGGAGAAACTGGGGCAGGGCATCTAGAAGGGGATCCATTGCCCCCAGGAATAATGAATTTGGTTTTAGATATTAGAGAGTTGAAGACATTAAAACCATTATCAACTTGTTTTATATTGGCTCACAAGCAGCAATTTATTAATATTTACATTTTGAAAGTTTGAACAGTACTGATTTTATTTGTTTACACTAGTGTTTTTTGGCTAATGTACTTGTTTCTTTTGTTCCATTGGGAACTAAGTTGATAGAGTAAAAATGAGTGCAAAGGAGAGTCTGAATAGGACCCTAAGACAGAACATGTAATTACTGAATTACCCAGATAGCTAACACTATCCCAAACACGTTGCATTTCCCATGGCACTTACCATGTTGCACTGCCTTTGCCTATTTGGCTTTCTGCTTACTAAGCGGTTGCATTAGTTAACTTTTGCCACATTAAAAAAATCACCACAATGCTAATTAAAACACAAACATTGGCTATTTTTCCCAGTTCAGTGGGCTGTCTAGGTCATCTGGTCTGGGCTGGCTCTGCTGATCTCTGAAGTCTTTCGGCTGCTCAGTGGTGCTATTTAGTCTAGGGGAGCCTTAGCTAGAACCTCCTCTCTCTCCTCTACATGGTTCTCTCATCCTGCAGTGGGCAAGCCCAGGCTTGTCACATGGCAACAGTGTTCCAAGAGAGCAAGAATAGTCACTGCAAAGCCTCTTGACACTTGCATTTAAAATTCACTCTTCTATCTCATCCTATAGGTCAGAGCAATTTACACACCTGCCAAGATTCAAGGGGTGGAGAAATAGATTTTTCCTTTTGTTGGATGGAGTTGCAAATAATTTTTTTGTCATTGTTTTCAGTCTACCACAACTGTAAAATGAATTCCATGAGTACAGGAAATGCATCACTCTTGTATACTTCAATAAAGTTTTTTTTCCCCTCTCTCTGTGAACTAAAGCACGGTCATGGTGCAATGGCATTGATAAGCGTTCCTTGTCCGTGGCTTTATTGACATTTGAGGTCAGATATTTCTTTATTGTAAAGGGATGTCCGTGCATTGTAGGGTATTTAGCAGCATTTCTGTCTTCTACACACTAGATGCTAGTAGGAACTCCTGCCCAGTTGTGACAGCTAAAATGTCTCCAGACATTTCCAAATGCCCCTGGAGGCAAGATACAAACATTTTCCTAGCAGTGAAAAGGATAGGGATGGGGTAGAATATGACAGTGTAACAATACATGTAGGAAGCGAAAGAAAGAAAAATACTTGATTCTTCTCAGAATGCCTAAAACTTGTACTGTCTCTGTTACTCTTACATTAATTTATCATAAACATTCTTTATCTGATAATATCAGAGTTAAACTTTAAATTCAGGACAACGTTTGATTTTCTCTTTTTTTCTATTAAATATGTATGTTTCCAATTACATAATTGAGTTGTCTGTTGTGGCTGAATTTAATCTTGAAAATAGAGACTCTCTCTCTTGATTCCCAGCTGTACCCTCTAGATGGCACCTAAAATTCTGTTTTTCAAATTGCAGATTATAACCCATTAATGGGTCATTAAATCATTTTAGTGTGTTTGAAGAGGTTTTTTTTTTTCCTAATGAAATCTCATAGGATGAAAAGAATGTTTTCTTACTGTGGGCCCTGGTCAAAAAGTGTAGATATATCTGATCCTAGAAAATTTCCCCAGTTACAAGGAGGGACATGCCCCAACTCTATCCTTAATGTACTGGCTCTGATGTTGGTGGTGAGATTGTCACAGATGTGCAGAAAATAATCTATTAGGCATTTCATGTACAATTCATCACATATTCAGAACTTAGCCAGTTATAATACTATGCCTCTAGTGTGAGAAATAAAATTCACTGAAGAAGGTATTATATTTATTGCTAGCTAGCTACATTTTTTATTTCTCTTTCCGTAGTATGAAAAATTTCCTGAAAACCTCATCACTGAACAACAGAGAGATGCAGAGTTAGGCCCATCTTCTCACCAGTCAACCCAGTATCTCCCTTTCTGTTTCAAGGTCCTTCCTCAAAAGCACAGAACTGTGCAAAGGGAAAGTGAGGGGAAGGACTCAGGAAGCAGGGGGGCAGTAGGGGTTTTCCCTGGTCTTTCCTAACCCATCAGTTCCAAAGGCTTAGTTGGTGTCTCAAAATTTTGAAGTAAAACCTGCTTTTACAATTAATGCAAATATTACTCAGTGATTCATCCTTCCCAAATAATTCTTGGTTTCTTTTGACATTTTATTTTTAAATCATGAATTAACAGTGACATCACTTTAGGGTTACTCAGTTCTTTACAATGAACTCAACTGTCTTACAAAGGCTGTAGAAGTTCAGATTTAAACCACCACCCAAGGTATCTCTTCAGCTGCTGTTGGGCTTTTAAAACTGTGATGTTCTGGCACACATTTGAGCATAAATCATAGCAGGGACATTGGAGAGAGGATTGTGTTTAATTGGGTGTTTTGTAGTGCCTGTAATGTAGAGATCTTCATTAAGGTTTTAACTATAATAGTGATCATGGTAATAATCCTGCATCAGTTCTAGTAAGGTAGATTTAGCTGAGTTTTTAAAATTAGGGTGAGGACCAGTCTCTAGTAAATTCATGCATTCAAAGGTCAGAAAACCATCCACAGATTTAAGTATGTGTGTGTGTGTACAATTGGTGTAATAGAGGTACTGAAGAGATTCTGTCAGTTTAACAAGTCAACAGAGTTACCTCTGCTTTGGAAGACTGTGGGCTAACACTGTTTGAGAGGATTCAGATCATCCTAAATTAATGGAAAGCCTAAAGGCAAAAAATGGTCTTAATATATTTCTTAGAAGTTTATGTTCCTGTGGTGGTCTAAAAATAAGGATTTTTCATATGGACTTTTGTAAATAGTATTACTTATTATTTTACTAGTAGTCTGAAAATTATGTTAATGATTCTTCAATATAAATACCTAAGTACATATAAAAATCCAAGTTTGTAAAAAAGAGTTGCAATTTGTGATTTGTTCTTTGAGTAAGGATTTATTAGCTCACATCTTCTGGGCTCAACAAAATTCTACTTTTCGCAAAACTCCCTCCCATGAAAATCTCTCATTTTACAGATGAGGAAACAGAGGCACCAGTGAGTTTAGTTGTGTATCTAATGTCACACACCTAGCAGGGGCAGAACTTTTGAATTTCAAATGACTTATTTCTTCTTTACTATATCAGGTCAATTTCCCTTTTGTAACTGCTTAATTCAGCTGTTTGCAAATCTTCACTCAGTAGTTTCTTGCTTTAGACAAATATTTCCTTGTAAATCTGCATGGAATTCTTGTTCCCTAGGACTCAAGCTACCTGTTTCCCATGTGTTGAACTTGGACACTACTCTATCCCACTGGGAATCCTCATGAGGCTTTCTGGCTCCTCACCAGTCACACAAGGCTCTGGCAAGAGAGGATTTCACTGACAATCAGGATCCTCTTTGGAGGATTTTGTCCTTACTGGAGTGTTAGGTGATGTGTTCATTAGGGTGAGAGCTTAACTGTTTTAACAAAGAGACCCCACAGTACACTAGGGTAAAGAACAAACAAGTTTCTTTCTTTCTCACATCATCACCACTATTAGTTGCCATTCATCATAATCTATGTGATAGAAGCTGGGTCTTCTCCATGTCTAGGTTTTATCCAGCAGGAAAGAGACAAAACAAAAACATGGAGGAAGCATGTCAAGGGCCTTAAGCGCAGACCTGACATGGCACATGACAGTTCTGACAGTCCAACAGCAAGCATTTCATCCCCAACTTCACGGGAGTGTGGCATAGACTGCAGCTGAGCAGTCACATTTCCAACTACACCTCTCTTACTGTGGGAAAGAAAAGAACAGATTTTGGTGCATAGCTGACATTATTAGCCCTGGTCCCGAGTGCCGTTGAGTGCCATATAGACTTCATGAAAAAAAATTTGCCTCAGGAATTCATATATGCTTACAGCCTTGTTTTTTTAATCTTCTGATTTTTCATGTAATATTTCAAAAATTTTATCTAAGTAAATTTAAATAAAAAGGATATTTCTTAAGTAAGCAGATCCAAAATAATGCATAGTTTTAGATACTATTTTAACTGGCCATGTTGTTCTTCACCTTTCTTAGAGTCTCTGGGAAATACATGATTGCTAGGGCCTGTAATATATTAATATCTGGCTGGGATTGACTAAATTTGAGACTCTAGCCTTGGTAATAAGTGCTTTTATTTTTGTGTCTTTTGATTGCACTTTTAATATTGCAGTGTTTCTATACCACTCTGATTGGCAGGAAATGGCCTGCTACAGTGGAACACACCAGAGGACAGAGCACAGTATAGCCATCCTCCCCTTGCTAAGCAAAGCGCTGACCAGGCCCTCTGAATGACCCCCTCTGAGCTTCTCAGCCCAGGCAGTATGTAGTGCTTGGGGACATTTCAAGGACTGTCACAGAATTCGCAGGATTGGAAAATAATCTACACAAACAGCTAAGACTGTAAATCCTTGAAGTTTAGATAGTGATGAAAAGAAATGGCCTCTGAAGAATCCAGTTACCCATGATTTTTATAGAAAGGATGAAGATTAGTTGTACCAAACTCCAGGACACTGTTGTGAGCTTGTCATAGGGGTTTGGGTTATACGTAAGTGGTAATTCCTTGATTATTCAATCTTTCTGCTGTTAGATTTAGAATTTCAAAGAGGAACTATACCATGTACTCCTCCTAAGGTCTTTAAAAAAGGGTTACAATTGGTCTTCTTGGAATAATATATTTACTGCTGCATGATGATATTTTTAAGGTTCAGTCCAGTCTTCAGTTTTGTTTTGTTCTGTTTTATATACAGCTCCAGAATGGCAGAAGACAATCCATATTTAGGAGGGCATGAACAAGTAAGTATTATAATCTCATTGATATTTTTTGTAAATGTTTTCATATTTTTAAATGTACATAGGCTCCAATGGTAATTATCAAGAAAACTCTAAAATTGGTAGAAATTTCTTTTAAATTGTTGCAGTTTTCCCTGTCCCTCTATGTAAGGTCAGAGGGAACGTGTCATGTCAAATCAGTAACTTAAACTCTGCTCTCACACATATTGTTGCATAAATATTATGTGTGCTACATCAAATGATAAGTACTATATTAGTTTTGTAGGGCTGCTGTAACAAATTACCACAAACTGGGTGGCTTTAAACAACAAAAATAAATTCTCTCACAGTTCTAGAGGCTGATGGCCAAAAATCAGGATGACAGGACTGGTTACTTCTGGAAGTTCTGAAGGAGAATCTGTTCACACCTCTCTCCTAGCTTCCAGTGATTGCTAGCAGTTCTTGGCGTCCCTTGGCTTGTACCTACATCACATCAACACATTGGCCTTCTTGTCTGTGTGTCTCTTGTGTCTCTGAATCCAAATCTCCCTCTTTTCTCTTACAAAGGCATCATCATTGGATTTAGGGCCCACCCTTCAGTGTGACCTCATCTTAGCTTGATTACATCTGCAAAGACCTTGTTTCTATGTAAAGTCACATCCACAGATGCTGGGGGTTAGGACTTGAATCTAAAACTCATATAATGAGGAGGCATACGGGTGTAGTGAAATGACCTTTGGACTTAGAAGTCACATATCTTTATGTGGTGCCAGCTGCTACTGATGAGTTCTTAAAACTCGAGGAATCATTTAGCACCACTGATTCTCACTTTCTTATTTGAAAAATAGGGGTGCAAGGCCCACACTTACAGGGGTGTTGAAAATACTTAATGAGTAGCGGACATGCTTTGGGAACGTAAAACTTGTTTGTAATTATATTAGCAATTATGAAGGGATACCAGTGTCCTTTTTTCTCTTACTTTTTCCTTTGAAAAATATCAAGATTGTAGAAATATTGACTAGTCCCACAAATCTTTGTTATTAATATTTTCTTCTCTCTGTCTCACTCTCTTACATATATATGTGTGTGTACATTTAATATATACATAAAATAAATTTTTATTTTTCAAATATAATGAATATAAATATTTGGTATTTATATATACTAAATAAACTATATGAAAGCAGTTATCAGCTTCTGGGGTAATTATAATGCAGTATTAAATTTTAATTAGTGATTTTTAAGAAGTATTTAAAATACTGAGATTATCATTGATCAGCTATTTATTGAGGCATTACAATGTGCCAGTTACAGAAGGTTTAAAAAATAAAAGATATGTAGATCCCAATTTCAGGAAGCTGCCATCCTAATAGGAGAGATAGAGACATGAATAGTTTCCTTATGGTGATAAAAACTGTAGTAGTAGTCTGAAGAAAGTGGAACAGAAATGTGGATAGGGATCACTCCATGCTGTCTTGGGGAATGACCAGGTTTATGAAGGACTTCCCAAAGAAAGTCTATGTAAATTGAGATTTGAAAAATGGAGTTTGTGAGTCTAGACAAGGAGAGGGAACACTAGGTACCAGGACACCCTCGTTCATATTTACAATCATTTCACACTTAAACTTCAGTGGCAACCATGTAAAAAATGGATTTCCTGAATTTATGCATTCAAGGAACCAGTCAGAAAAATAAAACCAAAAGTGAAATACGTTTTAAGGAATGTTTATTGTTTCTTTAAATAAAATAGACTTATGTAGTATTCATTCCTCTTGATAATACTCTGATTGACTTAAAAAGAATGAATATGCATTGCTTTTCACATTAAGATACTTCTTTTGAACTTCATTAACAAAGGGTGATACAGGATAAATCTAGAAACATTTTCTTTGATTACAGCATGAAAAATATTTGGCTACTCGTATTATCAAAATCTTGTTTTACCTTTCGCTTTTAATATGCTATCTCTAACAATTAAAGGCAAACACTAACCAGCAGTAGGGCTGTTTCTGCTTGGTTTTACACCATGCTTTCCTGTCTATACACAGGAAATCTTATCAAGAAGAGATGGTCCTTTATGCCACCTGAGAATAAAATCCGCTGAAAACATTCATTTTGAAAGTTTTTCTTATGTGGGCATTTTTGTGATCATCAACAACAGGGGTGAGCGTGTTCTGATATTTCCATTTTTGAGAGGAAAAGTCCTTGAAGTTTAGGGGTTTTTTTCCTTGTCCTGAGTTTAATGGCATATATTTCCTGAGTTTTACATGTCCTCGGTGTTTCAGTGTATTCTGGAATTGCTCCCCAGTGCTGATCTAATACACAGGGCAAGCTGAAGTGCACAACACAGCTTCTTTCTTCTTCATCTGAAGTAGAGTGTGTCTCTCTCCTGAGATCAATACTTTTGTTCTCTAATCAGTAATTTAAGCCACCTGCGGGACTAGGAAATATTTTTTTCCTGCTAAGTCATCTTTTCTGCTCTGACATGGGTGAATACTGTGTGTTTTTTCATTCCTGTATTTCCTTTTCAGCCAACAATGAATAGTGTAGATGAACTTTATTCTTCAGCATTCAAGTGGAGCACATTTATTGTTGCTTAAATGAAAATTTGCATAATGTGGATAACTGTTGAACCAGTGGGTTGTATACTTAAAATCAATATAAGATTGTATATCAAGTATACTTCAATAAAAAAAGAATATGAAGTAGATAAGATGATAAATTTATGATTAGTCACTTCTGTTTTATATTGACAAATGTTACCATTAAAAAAAAAAGAAAATGTGCATGCCTCACAACTAGATCTGAAGTGTTCCTTATTTAAACACTGTTTCTTACTCTTGAGTTAAGTAGGCATACTAGGTTCTTAAAGTACCCCAGAACCTCCAATATATGCTAATAAAGAGAAGGCATAAATTGTAATTAATATCAGGGCTTTCAAAAAACAGTACCAGCTCGAGCATACTTAGTAACCAGCATATCATAAATGATGAAATATGGTTTCTGTGCTCTCCACAGACATTTCAAACAGAGGAATTGTTGAGTTTGAAACAAATACCAAGTTCAGAGGTATATGAATTTTAAGTCTTGAATGGAATAAATGGAAAGAAAATTTTTCTCTTGAGACAAGTGATAATTAATAACTTAACAAAATGGAATATAATTTGATCAAAATATACTGCTTGCCCACTGAATTAGTTTTCCATTGCTACTGTAACAAATTACCACTAATTTAGTAGATTAAAACAACACAAATATATTCATTCCCTTGCAGTCTCTAGGTCAGAAGTCTAAAATCAAGGTGTTGGCAGGACTGCATTCCTTCTGGAGGAATTTTAATAAAAAGGCTTTTATTTCCTTGCCTTTTGAGCTTCTAGAGACTTGTGATCCTTGGCTTGTGACCCCTTCTGTTACTCCATCCCCTTCCTTCCATTGCCACATCTCCTATATGCACTCTGATCCCCCACATCCTTCTTATCGGGCCCCCCTGAATAATGCAGGATACTCTCCCTGTATCTGTATTCTTACCTTAATGATATCTGCAAAATCCCTTTTGCTATATGAGATAGTATTCACACGTTGTGAGGGTTAGGATGTGGATGTGTCTGAGGGAGCCATTATTTAGCCTGCCATACTCACTAAATACCAGATGTTTTGCATTGTGCTAGGTAAACAAAGGTGAAAAAGAGAAAGTGAGGGAACTCAGTGCTCAGGTATTTGCTTGCTCCTTGGACTCTAAGTTAGTGGTTCAGTTTTTCTGTTAATTGTTCCAGGGCTGCTACGTAATTCTTTCAGTCCTTGAATTTGGATGGTTAGAGTAGTAATTTATTTCCCATCATAAAAGGGAGGGAGATTTCTAGGATTATATTCCTTTGCTTATATTTCTAAGAGGGTATAAGCTTTGAATCATTCATTCACAAAATACTTATTAAGTATCCACTGTGTGATAAACATACATTGGGCCCTGAAGTTGTACAAGTGAGCAGGTCCTCTCTTCTGTGGACTTCATAGCTAGGTCATTCTTTTCAAATTCCTCTGTCACATAAACATAACCCAACCCTATGTAAAGTTCCATCTATACAAGAAGTTAGCTAGGTCTCATGAACACATATTTTAAATCATGATTTGGAATATTTTCAGGTTTTTGCTTTCAGTTTTACTTTTTATTCCTGTAATTATGTTTTCAGGTGTTTCAACTTCAAATTTTTAATACTCTGGTGGAAAAATAATGACTGAAATACTTAAATATTCTTTTTTACAGATGTTTCATTTGGATCCTTTGACTCATACAATATTTAATCCAGAATTATTTTCATCAGAGATGCCTCTAGCAACAGGTAAGAAAACATCCCTGCTGCCTTGTCATTTTACTTTCAGTCTTAAAATCCAAGATTTGCTAACAGCCTCTTTTAGAAAGCCCACTATGTACCTAGAAAGGAAATGGTGATTTTTGCTTTAAAAACCAGTCTTTCAATATGCTTTTTTGAACTCGGCACAAAAATGTTTCATCTCAGTTACCCATGGTGTCATTGTTGCTGGTAACTGCTAGGACAGTTCAGAAGGACATTCTTCACTCCGTATAAGGATTTCCCTTTTCACCTAATCTTATTATCTCTGGGTCCTTTATAAGTCATCTTTTCTTTGTCCCAGACATGCATGAAACTGTGTCAACTCTGAAATCTATTCCAAAAACACTTGAGTTCCTATAGCGTGCCAGCCAGTATGCCAGAAACTGGGGAACATAATATACTGAAATCATTAAAATCATCTCGGCAGAAACATTATCTTTTTAAAAAGCTTTTTGCTTTACATTCTGATCAGTTGGATAAAATTCATGATACACATCCTTCCTTCTAGTGTGACTGTGTTAATCATCCCTATTGACAGATTGTTTAATCCCATATGAGTGATTTAAAAAACCAACTCATGTAGTCTCTTTTTATTTATTGATTTATATGTAAGCTCAGTGTGATGGCTCTTTTTATGTGCTCTTGACATCACCAGCAGGATTTAGCAGATGCTCAAAAGTGAGTAAATTATGGCAGTTGTATATAAACAGAGTTTTATAATCACTGAAGTGGACATCAGATCTTCTGTTTACTATGGACTTGCTTGTTTTTATTTGGAGGAAATTATTATTGTTACTCTGGTAACAATAATTTAGATTTTTTTACATCATTTTTATCTGTGTTATTTTCTGCATTTTATCTGTATTATTTCTAGCAGATCATGGAAGGGAAAAAAATTAATCTGCTATGCATTCACCTTCACTCCCCAAGTTTGTATTGCTGAGATCTTTCTCTCTTTACCCCACAAAACATATTTTGTAGGCTACCATATCTGAGATCTTGTGAAGGGCTGTCCAATTTGAGCTCTAGGTCAGCTTCCTGTGAACAAGTAAATGTCTTGGTAGCATCAGTTTCCTATGAGCTTTTTATTCTGGGGTTCAAAGTATTTTTCTTAGTGTTAATACTTTATTGCAGACATGTGAACTTAGTTTTTCCCTCAGGAAACATACACATTTTCACCTCATGTCTTATAGATGCCCAACAATATCTGGAGGCTGATGCTTTCTTACATTTTTATTTCATCATTTATGGAGATAAAAATAAGACTATCAAAAGAACTGTCTTAGTAAATAATCTGTGATCAGAGCTTCATCTTGTAGAGATTATTTTGTTATAATATTAGGAAAAAAATTTTTAATACACCTCAAATTTAATATTAGGAAAAAAATTTAAATACACCTTATTTCCAGTTATTACCTCATCATTTTTATTGGTGTATTTTCAGTGGCATAGTCCAATTTTTATAATCCAAGATTTATGAATAATAAAAAAAAGATGTATGGATGTTTTGTTTATGTTAACAAAGGGTAGAGAGGTTAAATAAACCAATATTGACTTGTAATTTTCATATGGATTAGTGTATCTTCCTGAAATCTAAAACTGTTAGTTCTACTACTTGTTAAAAACTCTATGGGATATGGTACAACCATTAGGTCTATAACATTATGCTGTCATTTAAATTTCTCTACATCATAGGATGTCATCTCATGGTAGAAATGTGGCCAAAAGAAAATTGGCATTCAAACAAATGCATGCATATCAAATCTAACTTTATAGTCAATTTAACTTTTGAGTGTGTTCCTAAAAGAGAAAAATAGCCCTATTTCACTGTAAAATTCCCAAACCTTGGAATTTCACATATTAAAGGAAATTAAATCATACAGCAAAAATAGTAGCAAGACTTCAAGTATTCTTAGAAGAGTTAGTAAGTGAAAGACTTGAAGTTTAATGTAAGCATGCTCCAACTCCCATTTTCCATGACATCCAAATGTTTCCTTAGAGGCCTCTCTTCTTTTTATTTATTTATTTTTATTAAGGTATCATTGGTATACACTCTTATGAAGGTTTCATAAGAAAACAATGTGGTTACTACATTCACCCATATTATCGAGTCCCCCCCATACCACGTTGCAGTCACTGTCCATCAGTGTAGTAAGATGCCACAGAGTTACTACGTGTCTTCTCTGTGCTACACTGTCTTCCCTGCGATCCTCCCCACACCATGTATACTAATCATAATAGAGGCCTCTCTTCTTGATATGTTCATTTAACATTCTAGAGGGAATGTTTTTAAGAATAGATTTCTTACATTGTCATACAAGCTATTTATTAGTAGTGTGAAAATATTTTAATTTTAATCAGTTATATTTTCTTATCAAAAGTAAACTCTAGACATTTTTTTGGAATTTTTAAATTGCAATCTCTTTGCTAAAAGTAGTTTAAAATGTCCAAGGATAAACTTCATACAGACAAGAGAAGATAATTTACCTAAATTATACCACATTGGTCAGTCACTACCCATTTTTCCTTCTTTGTTTATATTTCACTTCAAATCGTCATTCTTCAATTGACTTCCTTGTAAACTTCTTGAATAAAACAGGAAATAATTATACCTTTGTTTCCTAAGGTTCTCCAGCCTTATCCTGATTTATCATAATACTAAGATAAAAATGAATTACTAAGTTATAGTTTATTTTCAATTTCAACCTGAAGGTTTAGCTATTCTTTGTAAATTTGTTTGCCTAAAATATGAGTTCTTAAACTTCTGACTAAGAGGTTGTGAAGATTGAAATGGTTACAGAAGCATTCTCCTAGAATTTTTTTAGTACCAAACATCTTAATTTTAGTCAACAAGTGAGAAACACTACCATATGCCTTTATTTATTGCATAGCTATGAGTTATTATACCATTGATATAAAAACTAGGGAGCTTAGGGACTTTCTCACATTGAACAAATTTGTATTTATACTGTCAGAGGTTTTGAATTTTCCTTTGAATTTCCAATGTCAGTTACAGTTGCAGTATGGATTAAACTAGTTTTCTTCATGTTTTTATAATAGTTAATTGGCATACATCTATCTTTAGTTATTTTCAGGGTTTTAAAAAGTGCTTGTACTACTTTAGAACAGAATTTCTATATGAGAGCACAGTTTTCAAAAATTATATACTAATATCAAAAGCTGTGGATTAATAAGAAAAGCTCACCATGTCTGAGAGACCAAATTAAATTTGGGAAGGGGCAGGGAGCAAAGCAAGCCACTTAGAGGGTGAAAGCACTGCTATGGGTTCAAGGGAAAGGGATCAAAAACTCCTGTAATGAAAAGCAGATAGCCTGCAGTCATTATCTGTGTATTACACACATGTAGATGCTAGCTCAGCCTCTTGTAATTTCATATTAAGCACATTTTCTTTGAGGAATGGAAGTCAAGGTATGATGAAGAGAAGGCAAAAGAAAATGTTGTAGTGCTCAGAAAGTGGGTGCCGCTTTTAATTGGTATTTGTGTTATTTAAAAAAATACTTTGTTAGTAGACAAGATTGTGAAAGCTATTGGCATCTTAATCCTTGCCAGACATCATGCCCTTGGTTTAGTTGTGCAATCACCATTTAATCAACTTTTATTTATTGTGGTTCTTTAAAGGGATGAAACTGTTGTTAAAATAAGGATAAATTTAACATCTAAACAAGGAAGATAAATTATATCCTTGTGAATTTTAGCTAAAAAGTTTATTTAAAACCTGTTTAAAAATGTAATTTCAGTTTTTCACTTGCATTGTATTTCATACCAAATTTGAGAAGCTTCATGGATTCTTTTGGTGTCTTTTTGTTTTTTGCAGATGGCCCATACCTTCACATATTAGAGCAACCTAAACAGGTAAGATGATTAAAGGGGTGAGATTTTCTTTTTAAATGTTAGAGCTGTAAGTCTAATATTAATATCCCAAATGCCAAATAAAATAGTAAGTAAATTTTATGAAGGAAGCAGCTTATCTAGGAAATCAACAACCTAGCAAATTGTGTAACAATTTTATTTGTTCACTTTACATTTCTCCTAGTCATTCTTCATCTTGTTCTGACCCTCAGCACATAGTTCTGTAAAATAGTTCATTATAGATCCTTGGTATCCCACTGTCTCAACAGCCACTCTTAGGGAAGGCATAGGCTACCTCCATTCATTTTCATTTATAAGGAAGTACACGTACATGCAGTTCACTTACACTGAATTATCCATCAGCTCTGTCCATGTCCATGCAGTGCTTCTTAACTTTCCTCCTTTCTTTAGTAGCTCCAGTATTTTCTGTTCTGTTTTTGTAACATGTAACCTAAGATACTAAAAGTTTCAGTATGGGGTAGATAAAGTTTTAGAATGGACATTTGAGTCCTCTTCCCTCTGGTGTTAGCTATAGACGCAGCCTCTTTGGATCAGGAGAAGAGCCGACTTCCTCTTACCACTGGGGTCTGTAGGGGATACCTGGGAATTGAAGTGGCCTCCTCACTGTGCCGCAACTCTGTGGATAAATATTTATTGGAAATTAGATGGAAACAGTTATATGAAAGAGGAAAAAGAATCTTTAATGTCTGTCTATAGAAGATTTTAATTATTAGGGGATGGAAGTAATGGTATAGTCCTCCAGAGAAGGAGGATAAAGTCAGTAAATCTCTGGATGCATTTACCACATTGTGTGAGACTGAGGATGCATACACCTGCTCTCTTGCAGTTATATTGCCCAATACCTTTCCTGTATGTTTTTAGTAGCACATGTGATGAGTGAGTTTAACACTTTTGCATTGTGTAACATTTAATAAATGACTAACTAGGTCAAAAATTTAAATAAAGCATCCACTCTGGTTACTATACTCGTGGCATAATATATGTATTTGGATTTGGGCCAGAATTTAAAGGATATAAATATCTTAACTATGACCAAATAGACTATCCTGATAAGCTTGAATTTAGACAGAAGATTTTGACTTGGGGACAGGAATCCCACATGAGACTTCGGGGCATGGTTCTAGTTACTGGCAAGCAGCACACTCTTGAACTCCACAGACTGCTGACATGACTTTGTTTTACCTTCATGTCCAGTTCCGTAGCAGTGACATCTCACAGGAGGTCACCGATTCTCTCAGACTGTCCCACTGGAAGTTTATCTCCTAAAATTCTATGCAGTGGTCTGGCTTCCTGAAAATTTTCTGGCTTGTAATGTCTGGGTAATCCATGAAACTGGGAAATGAACTATAATTTATTTGTGTGCATACAAAGCAAAGTGTGTTTTTTTCAAATATCCATTTTCATAAGCATAGCACTACAATGAGAATTTTTAAGTGCAATTCCTCATTATGGATGCAACAGTCATAAGGAAAAATTGACATTTATGATTTACCTGAAGGATTATTTAGTTCAGTGATTCAAATTTTAATTCTATATGTGGATGTGTAAAAGCTTATCTGAGTAAAACAATGTTTGTTTACCAACTGATGTTATTTCAATGTCTGACTCCAGTGAAAGTAAAAAGATTGTATGTAAGTCAGACTTTCTGATCGGATGGATTCAGCTTTGTCTTTGAGGTTGGTGACTGACTCATTGTAAGCAGATGGAGTTACTGAGATGAATAGCTGTGGATTGGCAGACACTTAATATAAAAAATATAGATTCAGAAATGCATCCAGACTGTGCATTTGAAGACATTCTATCTTCCTGGAAAAATGGTAATAAATTTCCATTCTCACATTAAAATTTCCTTTGCATTGAAGTTTAGACACTCTTCTGCAGTAAATGTTATCTGTTGTTTTTCAAATATTAGCAGGCTACTAAGGCATGTTAGAAGATTTTAATTATTAGGGGATGGAAGTAATGGTATAGTCCTCCAGAGAAGGAGGATAAAGTCAGTAAATCTCTGGATGCATTTACCACATTGTGTGAGACTGAGGATGCATACACCTGCTCTCTTGCAGTTATATTGCCCAATACCTTTCCTGTATGTTTTTAGTAGCACATGTGATGAGTGAGTTTAACACTTTTGCATTGTGTAACATTTAATAAATGACTAACTAGGTCAAAAATTTAAATAAAGCATCCACTCTGGTTACTATACTCGTGGCATAATATATGTATTTGGATTTGGGCCAGAATTTAAAGGATATAAATATCTTAACTATGACCAAATAGACTATCCTGATAAGCTTGAATTTAGACAGAAGATTTTGACTTGGGGACAGGAATCCCACATGAGACTTCGGGGCATGGTTCTAGTTACTGGCAAGCAGCACACTCTTGAACTCCACAGACTGCTGACATGACTTTGTTTTACCTTCATGTCCAGTTCCGTAGCAGTGACATCTCACAGGAGGTCACCGATTCTCTCAGACTGTCCCACTGGAAGTTTATCTCCTAAAATTCTATGCAGTGGTCTGGCTTCCTGAAAATTTTCTGGCTTGTAATGTCTGGGTAATCCATGAAACTGGGAAATGAACTATAATTTATTTGTGTGCATACAAAGCAAAGTGTGTTTTTTTCAAATATCCATTTTCATAAGCATAGCACTACAATGAGAATTTTTAAGTGCAATTCCTCATTATGGATGCAACAGTCATAAGGAAAAATTGACATTTATGATTTACCTGAAGGATTATTTAGTTCAGTGATTCAAATTTTAATTCTATATGTGGATGTGTAAAAGCTTATCTGAGTAAAACAATGTTTGTTTACCAACTGATGTTATTTCAATGTCTGACTCCAGTGAAAGTAAAAAGATTGTATGTAAGTCAGACTTTCTGATCGGATGGATTCAGCTTTGTCTTTGAGGTTGGTGACTGACTCATTGTAAGCAGATGGAGTTACTGAGATGAATAGCTGTGGATTGGCAGACACTTAATATAAAAAATATAGATTCAGAAATGCATCCAGACTGTGCATTTGAAGACATTCTATCTTCCTGGAAAAATGGTAATAAATTTCCATTCTCACATTAAAATTTCCTTTGCATTGAAGTTTAGACACTCTTCTGCAGTAAATGTTATCTGTTGTTTTTCAAATATTAGCAGGCTACTAAGGCATGTCTCTTTACTTATCTTCTGTGGGACACCACTTCCAATAAGATGTAAACGTATACATGTATACATATATTCCTCCAAGTATCCTAGATAAATTTTTTTATTAAAGATAAAAATAAAATAAATTTAACTTATAAAATTTTTAAGAACAGAATTTTGAAAAATGTTTCTATCCCCCATGGGGTCTCTTTGCCACAGTTTCTCCCAGCTCTAACAGAGATGAGTCATAGCCCAGAATACTAACTTTTAGAATAGCCAGTTCCATTACATATTATTTAGTGCTAATTATCTAATATTGTTTCAAAACTGAAGTTGTGTTTAAATTGACTAGCCGCCAAGTAAATCTCTATCTTTTTGGTTAACTGGTTCTGGAGGCTAAAAGTGTCTAAACATGCTATTGCTTCTTCATTAAAATTTCCTTTAATGATTAAAAATAATCCAATAGCCGTTACTACATTTGTAAAAGGTGTAGAGCTGAATTTGTAACATTTTTAGCTTGAATTTTGTGAGAAGGAAAACAGAGGGATTGGTCCTAATGATTAACCTCACCTCAAAAGGCTTCCTTAGTACTTAGGTTTGGAATTTTCTGAGGAGCCATAACCCAGAGTTGTTTTAGGTCCTGCTTTAATGAATTGATCATACACTCCAGACCCATATATGACATGAGGAAGTTTCCCACCATAGAAAATTTACTTCAGGTCTTACTAACCCCATAAGATATGCTTTTCAGGACTGATCCTGTTTGGAAATCAGAAACTTCTCAGAGAATGTAGGAACAGTTCCATATTTAAATTAGTTCAGGGCCCTGACAATTCAGCTGTCTTGCAAGATCCTGTGAAGCATAATGAAGTGTAGTGTACTCTAAGGAGGGCAAAGGGTTTACATTGGTTCAGAGCTCAAAGCTGTTAAGACCTTTGTGTTTGCCAGTTCCACAGTGGCTATGAGTATGCAAGGCAGAAAGCCCCCACCAGCAAGGAGTGGGTGTGTGGAGCTCATGATGGCCTAGGGGTCTAGCCCTGCTTATATTCAGTCCCACATAGAGATACATGAAAGGTAAGGTTATCCCTTAAAGTATACTAACATATTATTTTCACCAAAGGATAACTTTGAAAAAAGAAAAACCATCTGGTTAAGTGATTGTATAATTATAAACTGCTAACGCTACCACAGATTGACTGGCATCAATATAAAATTGAGTCTTTAAGGGAAAACACTGAAAACTCCCTTAATGTGATGATGAGATCCATTCCCATAATTGTCCTCATTTTATTCTTTGCATACAAATATGTGCTAGTATAATTGTTAGCTTTGTAAATCATAAAATGCTATAATCTGAAGAAACAAACATGGTCTAATCTTCTCATTTGTACAAATTAAAAGACATAGAATTTTGGTGTATATCACATCCCACAATAGTTCACATAGTAAAGATTTCCAGTTAACCTCTTCATTGATTTACTGTATCTGTAAAATTCTTGAGTTAATATTAAAAGAGACTATCTGGTTTTGGAAACATTCAGTTTAGTTGATATGTCAAATTTGAGCTTAATAATATCAATAATCATAAAATAAAAAATCTTATCTTCTGAAATGCTGAGAGAAGCTAGCCAGATGCCAGGGTCTAGCATCATTCTACAACACTGATGGGATATATTTAACAAGACATTTCAGTATTCCCTCCTGAACCACCTGTAATCAGAGTAGATAAAGGAATTCTTTTAAGTAAGTGTCAAAGAAGCATAACTTTGAGTAATATGGTCAGGTTCAGAGCTTGGCAGCAGCAATTTGAGATGAGAGAACTCTGATTCAAACAAGCTGTAGCACATCAGGTCCAAGGCTTAAACTCTTCAATAGTTTGCTTTCTACATATGCATGGTGGGAGGGTTCTGCAGGGTTAAGGGTCTGGCTTTTAAGCCACAACTCAGTGCACAAACATCAATGAATATCAATGTTCATAATAAGGTTATGGGAAAAGTGATTCTCATTTAAAAAGTCCTCTGTCCCAGTTTATGTTTTTCCTCTCTCCTCTAATACACACAAGAATTAAAAATTTGTATGTAACTTTGTCCCTATAATTTTTAATAAGCATTTCTCAAACTTGTTGGCTCTACATTCACCTTTACAGAGAGGATTTCGTTTCCGTTATGTGTGTGAAGGCCCATCCCATGGTGGACTTCCTGGTGCATCCAGTGAAAAGAACAAGAAGTCCTACCCTCAGGTCAAAGTGAGTTTGGGGTGTCCTTCTTTATGAATTCTGGGAGATTTTATTTTCTAGAGCAAAAGAAAGGAGTGCTTTAAATAATACAGTTGCCTTTTCTCTGAAGTGTTCACATGATTATTATAATTTTCAAATAGAAATTTGTCTCCTAGCAATAGAAGTGACGGATTTTAAAACTGTTAGTAGTTCCATTTAGTAGAAATTATTTCAACACGAACACACTTCAACTGTTTCTTGGTCTTGAATTTTTTAATTGTGTACCTCCTAAAACTTCAGTAAGATCTTTGAAAGAAGTGCCTCACTTCAGCTCTTTGGAGATTTAGTGAAAAACAAAACAGATGACTGACAATGGATTATATTTAAGATGGCGAATTCAGATCCAGACTGTTACTAGCTGTGTGGCTTTGACTAGTTTATCTAGGCTGTCTTAACACTTCTAATCCTCAGTACCCTAATGTGTAAAGTGCAGAAACGTTAATGGTCTATACTTCATAGGGTTTCTTAGAGATTAAATGAGAAAATGTGTAAAAATGTTGTACAGAGCCTGGAAGTACCATAGGGTCTGTGCTTGAGCAACCGTGTAATGACATGTGGTCCTTGGTATGTCCTGCTTCATGACATGCCTGTGGTGTGCTTGGTCAAGCCTTTTATACATCTTCAGGTTCTTTTTCTGTTTGTTAATTTAGTGGAGAATATCTTTCTCTGAGTTAATATAAATTTTTTTGTTTTCACAGTATGGTGTCATGTTTCATTATCTGGTAATAGTTTTGCAGATAAGCCCTTCAATAGTTGCAATTTCATCATTTATTAAAATGTTATTTTTTCATTAATTCAAGGCTTCAGCAAAAGGTTATTGAACCAGTTTCCACTAAGGTGTGTGCCCCTCAGGATGTAACATGCGTTCAGCCTCCATCTTTTTGTTGGTTGGTTTATGTCAATAGGTGAAGAGCAACAGGACAGGCCCTCAGTGACACCGTGGTGTCAAGGAGATCTGCCTTTGGTTTCACCAGCCTTGCATCCTGGTCTCCTGCCTCTTCTCACACCCACTTCTAGGCCCAGGCCTTTCCGCTTCTTATCCCAGTTCCAAAATGGAAGACAAAATACCGTGATATTATTCCTTACCTTTTGTGTGAAACACACGTGTTCACCCAGCCATATTTGCATTTTGTCTCCTAGCTCTTGTGTTAGCCCATAGAAGGAGACCAAAAACCCTGTAGAATCTGCATGAGGAAAAAGGAGCAGCAGTTATACAAGGAAATCAGCATTTATTAAGCTCCAAAGATTTGCCAAGTGCCTTACATTCTCCCTTCTAGTCCTTGTAACAACCCTCATAGGTGAAAAGTGTAATAATGCCTGTGGGTCACCTGAGGCCCAGAGAGGCATTAGCTCACCTTTCTCACTGGCCTGGTGGCTCTTTGTCTGACAGCAGACTGTTGCTCATTGAACTCTTCCATGGAGTATGTGTTTGTGTGGGCCTGGGAGCAGGGACCTGGGGAGAGGACATGGGAGGACAATACTGAACTAAGGCACTGAGAATTATAACCCTGGAAAATGGGAGAGGTGCTGGGGGCAAAAGGTACTTAGACATTAGGAAGTCAGAGCTAGCACTTGCCTTTTTAACATGTGTGTCTGTGTGTCATATATATATAAATATTTTATGTGTTTATATGTATTTGCTGTGGTAAGGATAATTGAAAGATACATGTTACCAGAGTTGACACTGATTACACTAGGTAAGGACTAACAGTACGAGAAAAACTGGGAGTTTTTTCTGGACTGGCTCTGTACAAAAAATATTAATTATGGTATTTTGATGGACTGTTTACTTCTATTGCTCTGGTCTGTTGTGGAATAGGAATACTTATTCCACTAAGAACAATTCTTGATACTAACAAATATATGCATTAGCTTTGTTGCAAATTTATTATTACCTAATAAAAATCTTTATATATCCATTTATATTCTGTCTTCATATATCCTTCTCACATAGTGGTTGCTGCCCCACAGTTACAAAATAACTTAGAAATGAAACAACCTAATGGTTATTAGATATTCTTATTAAATCATAGTTTCTATAATAAATAGTTTAATACTTCATGGAAAATGGAGATATATAAACAATTAATATTAAGGAAAGTTAAATATAAATTTGTAAGATTGGTCATTAATAAACTTCAGCTATAGCATCATTATTTTTTATTCACCCAATCTTTTATTTTTTATTCACTAACTTAACATATATTTATTAAACATTTAATCCAGTTGTGAGTAAAGGACAGTTCAGAGAATCCATTACAAACTATCATTGTTCTCTTAGCCTGTCATCATTCACTGAGAGTTGAAGTGGGTCTGCTGTTTGTAATAGTTAAAGGAAGTAATTTTACTTGTCTTAGAGGCTCTTAATTAGAAGAATGGGGAAAAGGGAAAGAGACAACCACAAAGTATTTTTTCCAGAATTCTTCTCCAAATATCACTTTTTACAGTCTTTTTCGTAAAGGATATCTCTGGGTGACCTTTCAGTTTACAAAGGGATTTAAAATCCTTTTTCCATAAAAAATTTAGGCAGAGGAAAGAATTGTTCTCAGTGTATCTCTCTTAGCAGTAATATTTCTAAAATTGTACATGTCTTCCTCAGTAGTTAACTAGGCAGCTGCTTGATGTAAGGCTTTAAGGGAGGTGGTAGGACAGATAAAATTAGTTCAGGGTTTCTCAAACTTGGCACTACTGACATTTGGGGCCACACAACTCTTTGTTGTGGGGGTGCTTTCCAGTACATTGTAGGAAATTCAGCAGCATCTCTGGCTTCTACCAACTAGATACTGATAGCATCCTCACAACTGTAACAGTTAGAAATGCATCCAGACACTGCCCAATGTTCCCTGGTGGTAAAACCACCTGCTTGAGAACCCCTGATCTTGATGCAGTAGCAAATCAAACTTAACCTTTCTCTTTTGCATACTTTTCTACAATGAAGCTGTAACACATAGGTTATATGCAATTGCCTAAGTATATTATTTTGCAAACATATGTACTTTTCCTGATTATTAGTAGTTACTTATTTTCATTTCTTCTAGAATTTGAGCTCTATACCTGGATAGTAAGGAAAAAGATAGAAAAGAAAAGAAAAAAAGCATACCTAAACATTTCATATTCTGTGATATCTGCATATCTAAAAGTTAACTAGAAATTCATTTGGCTCTTGGTTAAACTGTTACAGAAGAGAAAGTGAAAGTGGAGATGGGTTCAGTCAAGGCTGTGAACCTGCAGAGCTGCTGTGTGTGACTGATGGGAGCATCTATGCAATAGTCCACGTCCTCCCTTCTGGTGGAAGGAGGTATAATGGAGAGTGCTCCCACTCCCTCCCAGAATGCATTCCCACAGGAACTTCAGAGGGAGGGTGTTTATATTCACTGGGAAGAAATGATATTTCCAAGATTGACATACACTATATATTTATTAAAGTACATTTGTTTCAGGCTCAACAGTAAAGTGGTATGGACTCTGCCATTCCCTCACTTACAGTCTCTTGTTCTTCTCTTAAAACCCTCCTTCAGATAAGCTGGGTGTAGACTAGGCCTAGACACTTTCTTACCATGTTGAGATTAGTTCTAGAACTCAGGCAACTGGTCCATCATGTTTCTTTTCACATCAAAGAATACATGTGACTTTCTAGAGTCTTGGTGCATTCAAATTGTTTTTATTTAAAGTTATTTTATTTATAAACAGTTCTCCAACCTCTCCCTGTCTTCCCATGATGTCCCTGGGAGAGCACACCAACCAGTTCTTTGAGAGGCCCCAAGGGCTGTGGTTCAGCGTGCACTCAGTCATGTCATACGCAGGCATCAGCAGAGCAAAGCTATTGGGGCTGCCTGTGGTTTGGATGCTACAGGCCCTAAACGTACCTTAAAAAACATGTAAACACATAACCTGCTGGGGTGACTCTTGCTGATTGTCCAAATATGATACCTCAAGTTAAGTCATATCAAAACCAACTCTAGGAGTCTATCCCAATCTTCCTTTTTCTATTGGAATTTTGTCCCATGCTTAAAACCCTCTTTCACAGAAGCTGGGTGTAGGCTAGGCTTAGATACTCTCTTACCATGTTGAGATTTGTTCTAGAACCTGGGCTACTGGCCCATCCGGGGCTCTGCATATTTCTTTCATGTCCAAGAATCCCATTTAGCTTTCTAGAATCTTGTTGCATTTGCATTATTTTTTTAATTGTTTTAATTATAAAATATTCTAAGCATACAGAACACTTAAAAATTGATATCAGATACCATGTACCACCACTTAGATTACTAACATTTATCTATATTTGTTCTGCTCTTTCTAAAGTAAAACATAGTTACAGCTGAAGTCCCATCCATCCATCACTTTTCCCTTCTTCATAGGTAAACCATTTTCTGAATTTTCATTCTCTTTTATGTTTTAATATTTTTGCTACATAAGCATGCTTCCATAAATATGGGCATTTTCATCAAAATTAATTTTTACTGGCCTCACCCTAAATTTTCTATTTTATATGATGACTCCTTTTCAGGGCAAATAAGAGTTAAGCCTGGGCTCCATTAAAAACTAGTGTTCCTATTGATTCTTCTTTGTCATCTAGATAAAATTTATTCACTCACAATTTCTTTTGGCTCTTACAGTAAAAAAATAATAATAATCAGAGAACAATCTAGGTGAAGTAAATATACAGACTTATGTCTTTAAAGAAAAACTCTCTTGTTAAAATTTAGTAATCTATTATGTGTTCCATAAAGTTTCCCTTTAAAAAGTTTCCTCAGTTCTAAATTCATCACAGAGCTCCTGATGGGAGAGACTGGCAAAGGAGCACAGAACCTTCCTCGAGGCCAAGCTTGTCCCTGCCTGTTTTTGACTCAGCAAGGAGTGCCAGGGAAGGCTCATTTCCCTCTTTTTCCCGAAAGTTATGCATGAGATTTTTATTAATCCATCTGCCTTCCTCTTCACAGAGGTGGAAAGGTGCCAGTGGGAGCAGCCCC